TGGGGGTTTCACAATGTTGGCCAGGCTGGTCTCAAACTCCTGACCTCAGGTGATCCACCTGCCTGGGCCTCCCAAAGTGTTGAGATTACAGGCATGAGCCACCGTGACTGCCTGTTCATTTTTGTATATGCAACCATTTAACAAATTTCATCTATTCTAGCAGTTTTTACTAGGATCTCCTATGTCTAATAAATTTAAAAACCACCACCACAAGCAGTAGAAAGAATACAAAATCCATTAAAAAACAAAAACAGCTAAGGCTCCTAGTTGATGTGAATGCTTCTTTTCTTAGGATGGTAGTTTGAATAACAAGGTTCCAGACCATCGGTTCCCAGATTTTGCTGCACCTTAGAATCACCTGGGAAGCATTTTTGTTTATCTTTTTTTGAGACAGAGTCTCACTCTGTTGCCCAGGCTGGAGTGCAGTGGCGTGATGTCAGCTCACTCTGCCTCCTGGGTCCTGCCTCAGTCTCCTGAGTGGCTGGGATTACAGGCACGTGCCACCAGGCCTGGCTAATTTTTGTATTTTAATAGAGACAGGGTTCCTCCATGTTGGCCAGGCTGGTCTCAAACTCCTGACCTCAGGTGATCTGCCCGACTTGGCCTCCCAAAACTCTGGGATTACAGACTGGGAAGCTTTTAAAACTCCTGTAACTTAGGGTAGGAGTCAGGCAATAATAGTTTTAAAACATCCTCAGGTGATTCCAATTTACAGCAAAGTTGGAAACTGTTCTAACCTAGCACTGAGAAAACTATAGCCTACAAGTCATATCCTGCATTTTTGTAAACAAAATTCTGTGGAATGTAGCCATGCTCATTTGTTTACATATTGTCTTGCTGCTTTCACACTTCAACAGCAGAATGAGTGTTGTGAAACAGACCATATGGCTCACAAAGCCTAAAATATTTAGTATCTAGCCTTTTTGTAATACAAAAAGATAAAATCCCAATGAAGTATGATCTCACTCCAGTTAGAATGGTTTTTATCTAAAGGACAAAAAATAACAAATACTAGAAAGGATGAGGAAGAAGGGGAACTCATACACTGTTAGTGGGAACATAAATTAGTTCAGCTATTATGGAAAACAGTATAGTCGTTCCTCAAAACACTAAAAATAGAACTATCACATGATCCAGCAACGCCATTATTAGGTAAGTATCCAAAGGAAAAGAAATCAGTATATCAAAGGGATACATGCGCCCCATGTTTACTGCAGCACTATTCATAATAGCCAAGGTATGGAATCAACCCGTGTTCATCAGCAGAGGAATGGATAAAGCAAATGTGGTACATATATACATGATGGAATACTATTTAGCCATAAAAAGAATGAAATTCTATCATTTGCAGCAACATAGATGAGCTTTAAGAACATTATGTTAAGTGAAATGAGCCTGGCACCGAAAGATAAATACTGCATGTTCTCATTCATATGTAGAAACTAAAAGAAGTGTTGATCTCATGGAGATAGAGAGTAAAATAGTGGTTAATAGAGGTGGACAGGTAAGGGGAGAGAGGAATAACTGAAGATTGGTTAATGAATACAAAAGTATGGCATGATAGGATGAATACATTCTAGTGTCCTATAGTACTATGCAGTGATTGTAATTAATAATTTATTATATATTTTTAAATAGCTAGAAAAACAGATTTTGAATGTACCCAACACAAATAAATGATCAGTGTTTGAGGTAATTGGTATGCTAATTACCCTGATTTGATCATTACACATTATATAAGTGTATGAAAATATACTGTAGTCCATAAATAGGTATAATTATGTGTCGATTAAAAAAAAATAAAACAAAGGGCGATAGAGTCTGTTTGTTAGCTCTTTTGTGCTACAATTTACTAGGCTACCCTCTTGGCTCACGCCTGTAATCTCAGCACTTTGGGAGGCCAAGGTAGGCAGATTGATAGAGGTCAGGAGTTCAAGACCAGCCTGGCTAACATGGTGAAACCCTGTCTCTACTAAAAATATAAAAATTAGCTGGGTGTGGTGGTGCATACCTGTAGTCCTAGCTATTTGGGAGGCTGAGACAAGAGAATCGCTTGAACCCAAAAGGCAGAGGTTGCAGTGAGCTGAGATCAAGCCACTGCACACTAGCATGGGTGACAGAGTGAGACTCTATCTAAAAAAAAATAAATAAATAAAATAAAAAATAAAAGAAGAAGAAGAAGAAGAAGGCTACTCCCTTTTCTCCCCACCCTGCTCTGCTACAGCCTAAATGTGTTGGTTTTCTAAAGCAATGTGATATGTGAAAAACTATAATTCCCAGTAAATTAATTCAACAAGTCTCTACTAACCTTCTGTTATGTGTTAGGCATTTGAGATACTTTACAGATAAAAGGGACAAAATGCCATACCTGTTTGGAGCTTTTTTTTTTTTTTTCCCCCGAGACGGAGTTTCGCTCTTGTTACCCAGGCTGGAGTGCAATGGCGCGATCTCGGCTCACCGCAACCTCCGCCTCCTGGGTTCAGGCAATTCTCCTTCCTCAGCCTCCTGAGTAGCTGAGATTACAGGCACGCACAACCATGCCCAGCTAATTTTTTGTATTTTTAGTAGAGACGGGGTTTCACCTTGTTGACCAGGATGGTCTCGATCTCTTGACCTCGTGATCCACCCCCCTCGGCCTCCCAAAGTGCTGGGATTACAGGCTTGAGCCACCGCGCCCGGCCTGGAGCTTTTATTCTAATAGGGTCAGTGGGGTAAAAGACAGCACAAAAACGTTAATTATGTAAAACACACACCAAATTAAGTGGTAATAACTTCTATGGAAAAAAATAAAGCAGGAAAGTCCTTGTGAGAAGGTGAGCCACGACCTCAAGGAAATAACAGTGAGCCATGAAAAAAGTCTAAAGGAATAACTGCACTCCAGGTAGAAAAAAAAATTGACAAGTGCAAAGGTCTTGGTGGTACGTGCCTGGTGTGTCTGGCAAGCAACAGGGAGGCACGTGGCTGGAGCACAGTGAATCAGGTAGGAGTACGGGAGGAGAAGCAGTCTTAGAGAGAACATGCGACCAGATTATTTAGGGCCCAGAGGTTATTGTAATGACTCTGGCTTTTACAGAAAAAGATGGGAAACCAGTGGGGGCTTTGAGTATCCAGGGGTGTGATCTGTGATATTTTGACAGGATCACTCTGGCTGCTGTTGAGAATAGACTGAAGAAAGCCAAGAAACATGGTAGATACTTGGTAAATCTCAAAGGGTTTGGGTAGAATGAGGTAGATTTAGCTTTACAAGCCTGTTTTCAGGACCACATTTCTATTATTATTACTTTTCTCTCCATTATTAGCATAGATACACACACTTTAGCTACTTGTGTTCTTTAGGCTTAATTAGGAGATGGATGGTGGATTTGGATAGTTTAATTTTAACCTCGATCTAATATTTAGTCTTTCTTTTTAAGAGTTTCACTTTAGAATGTGTGTTTGTGTGTGTGTCTGTGTTTGTATTTGTATATACATATGTAATAAAATCAAATATATTCAAAAGTAAAATTATTTCTCAAAAATTCATAAATAATTACAAAGGTAAGCTCATATAAATTCACTAAAGAACAATAAACAAATAAAGGAGATGAACTCATGAAGAAAACTTCAAAAACAGTTTGAGAAAGTATAAGGTAAAATTATTTGCAGGTAAGATATTACTTGGAAAATAATATATCACTTGAAAAACTATTACAATAAAGTGGTTCAGCACAAAATAAATATGTAGAAACCGAGTGCACATATAAGCAACAAGATCTCCCCTAAGAGATATAATGGAAGGAAGATTCACCTAAAATTACAATAAATGAGAAAACAACTGGGAATAAACCCACCACTGGCTACACATTAGAATCATGGCTGGAGGGATTGACAAACAAGATAACAGTAATAGCACAGCAGGCCCAGGCTCTCTCAGAAGCTCTAATCAACTGGTGTAGGGTAGGCCTAGGTGATATTTAAAGTCCCTACTTTTCAAAAATTTTTACGGAGAAATTCATCTATATGAAGAAAACTTAGACTACTATTGAGGGATATAAAAGAAGACATGAATAAAGGGGAAAACATACTAATTCTTTATAATGACTATCATAAAAAATTAAATTCTCTCTAAAGTAGGCTATACATTTAATGATTTCATTAAAAAGGCCAACAGGACTTTCCATTTTTGTAACTAGACAAACTTATTCTAAATTTGTATGGAAAAATCAAGAGTTGCTAGGGAGAACAATTCTGAAAAAAGAAAACTATTGCAAAGGGACTAGTCCTACCAGATACTGTCTACCAGACTAATAAACAAAATAGACTGGTCTGGCTGGGTGTGGTGGTTCATGCCTGTAATCCCAGCACTTTGTGAGGCTGAGGCAGGCAGGTTTCTTGAGTTCAGGAGTTCAAGACCAGTGGGCAACATGGTGAAATCCTGTCTCTATAAAAATTTTAAAAATCAGCTGGGTTTTGTGGCATGTGCTTGCGGTCCCAGCTACTAGTGAGGCTGAGGTGGGAGGATTATCTGAGCCTGTGAGATTGAGGAGAGCAGTGAGCAGTGATTGTTCCACTGCACTCCAGCCTGGGTAACAGGGCAAGACCCTGTATCAAAAACAAAACAAAACAAAACAAAACAAAACAAAAAAAAGGAAAGCAAAGCAGAAACAAAAAATAGAATGGCCCAGTGGAAAATAAAATGTTCAGGAATGGCATAAGTATAAATGGGACTTTGGTATAGATAAAAATGTCATTGCAAATCAACAGGCGAAAAGAACATATCCAATCAAAGGTATTGCATGATGAAGTGGCATTTTTACAATGGGACAAGAGACAGTTTGCTCAATTAAAGGTCAATGGGAAGGCATTTAAAAAACACCTAAAGTTAGATTTCTACTATGTTTAATACATTCCAGCTGAGTCAAAGATCCAAAGATGAAAAATAAAACTCTACAAGAAGATAAGTGGAGAGGGCTACTGTAAATACGATACAAAATCCCAAAAGCCACGAAGCAAAGATTTACAACTTTTTTATTAATATTATTTTTAAATGACAAATCATAATTGTATATATTTATGGGGTACAAAGATTTGTAAATCTGTTTACATGAAAATATAGTTTCTACATATCAAAAAATACCAGAACAAAGTCACAAGACAAAGGACTATGACAAACTGGAAAGAAAATATTTGCAGAATCTCTTACAAAGAGCTAATACCTAAAGCCTTCCCGTAATACAAAAGAAAGACCAACAACCAACAGGAAAATAGGCAAAGAATAGAAATAGGAAAGGTCATGGTAAAGCAGATTCCAATGGCTGTTAACATGAAAATATGATCCACCTTACTCATAAGAAAAATAAAAATAGAATATTTGCATCAATTAGGTTGGCAAAGGATAAGAAGACATGCATTGATGGTGAGATTACCAGTTATTATACCTTCTTTAGAGGTAGTTTGTAATATCCAGTGTAATTTTGCTAAAAACTGTCTTGACTCAGCAATTTCACCTCTAGGTAGCTACGGTTAAGTGGAAAAAAACAGGGAAAAAGAAGCAACATGCAGAACAATGTGAGCAGTATGTTACCATTTGTGAAGGGGAAAAGGAATATATACACTTTTTTATAAATTTGTGGCCAGTCTCTAAAATAATGCATAAGCAGGTAGTTTCAGTACTTGCTTCTTGGAGGGGGACTGCATGGCAGGGAAGAGGAACAGGACAGAGACTTCATGCTCACTGTTAACCCTTCTGTACCATGTGAAGCTTTACCCTGCTTATATATTACCTATTTAAAAAAACAGTCATAAAATCAGGTATGTCCAGAGTTTACGTCCTTTTAAATACTCCCAATACTTCCATCAAATCCATCCAAACTATCCCATTCAATATAAATAATTCATTAAGCACCATCAGATGCTCACCACAAAACTATTTTATGATTCGTATCACTATTATTAAAATATTTTATATTCTCTATTATTTAAAGAAACGTAACTTTTACAGTATTTGCTTCAATCTTTTTGATGCTTCAACTAAATTGTTAGAAGTTGTACAAAGGTCTAAATAATAATCATTTTTGAAAATACGTAATTTTATAATCATTGGCATTTTATATTAAAATATACATTCTTTCAAAGTAATAAAAAATTGGTACCAAATTTGTTACATTTAAAATACATAATTATGATATTTATATGTAGCTCCAGAACATTATTTTTTAACTTTTTGTTCAAACTTCTCTTAGATTCATGTCAGTTTTAAGCCACTGGTCGATTGCACTTTCATGCTTTCTTGGTTCTTTCTGCCAGTCCTGATGCCACCTAAGGTTTGCTATAACATTTGAATAATTCTGTCCTATGCTTTGTTTCCACTTGATAAACTGCTCTTTATTATACTGGTGGACAGAAGCAGAAACTTTAGGATAGTTTATAATGGAACGAAGCTTCTGATCCAAAGAATAAATAATTTCTGGAAATTTTACAGCAACATTTGTTAATTCATCTGGATCTGAGGAAAGATCTGAAAGAAAAAAATTAAATATCTGTCAAAATAGTGATCTGGTAAAAAATTTTTTAGAATGTCTTTATGACAGGTAATGTATTTGATTTTAAAAAAATTTTCAGTTCCTCATAGTGTAATAAAATGGTCTTGAGTAGTGTAATAAAATGGACAGAATAAATGGTAAAATAACATACCAGGAGTTAAACACCCTATCATATGCCCAAATTTCCCTCCTTCCTACCATTGTTCAGCTATCCCACTTTTTTTCTTATCTATTCTTAGATGCCAGAAAAAGTCAAATGTTTATCATTAGGAAGCTGGTTTAGAACAAATTCTTCCTGTTTTTGATGTCCAGCCTACTTCGACAGGCAGAAATGAATACAGTAGTGCTTATACTGTATCATTTCAATAGCCTTAAACTTTCTACGAATTCTTTATATAGACAAGTCATGTTCTTGCAACTTCACTTAGTCCCAGTTTTCTTTATATATTAGTATCTTATGCTTGGAGTGTTGAAAGCTACATGCATCAGTACTGTCCATTTGAACAACCAGCCATGGAAATAAAAACTTCTCAATCACTGCCAGCAAGAAAACAATGATAAATATTTCAGATCTATAAACATACTTTTTCCCTATGGTGTGGGAAGACAGGGATATAACTAGGATACCAATCTAATTGGAAAAACAGCAAGCCAGAGATCTTACAACAATTAACTGCAGATAGTAAATGAACACTGTATGTTGAGAGGAAGGCCTCTATGGGCCTGTTTGAGTACATTAGCCAAGAGGCCCCTTCACAGATTTGCGACTTTGCTAGGTAACTTCAGAAGGTATGTCTTTAGGAAAGGGAAGTCAGTAAGTCCTAAAAAATACAGAAAAGGCTGATTCTCCCTCTGACATTTTGATGGTCACATCAGTTTTTTTTTTTTTGGTAGAACATGGTATAAAAAACAAAATTTCAACAAATTTAAAGCTCAAATTGGCTTTTATTTAGTGATTCATGAACTGGGAGCATCCCATCTAAAGATTTAGAAAAGGCATTCTGATGAGCTGAGTAGAGGGCTGGGGGTGGGGGAGGCTTCATAGCAGAAAATGGCTGATGAAAAAGCCCCAGAAACATGGAAGAAAAAGAAAAAGCAGATTCATTATAGTCATACTTCTTTATCCAGTAAAAACAGAGGGGACTTCCTTATGCTGGTTCAGGTAAACTGAGACCTTTTGATTTGTTACTGTGATTCTTTCTTTTTTTTTTTTTTAAGTGTCCTGTTCTAAAGCTCAGTTTGATTATGGGGCACTTAGTGCCAGTGACCCCATTCTGGTTTGATTTGGTCTGTTGGCCCTGGTACAGGAACTCAGTTCAAAACAATGGCCTCCCATAAATTTCATTTGACATTGGCCAACGAACAAGAAAGCAATGCCCATTACTTGTCAGGATGAAAATGTAAAGACTTTCTTTTCTTTTTATTTATTTATTTATTTATTTTATTTTTAAATAGAGACAGGGTTAGGCCGGGCGCGGTGGCTCAAGCCTGTAATCCCAGCACTTTGGGAGGCCGAGGCGGGTGGATCACGAGGTCGAGAGATCGAGACCATCATGGTCAACATGGTGAAACCCCGTCTCTACTAAAAATACAAAACATTAGCTGGGCATGGTGGCACGTGCCTGTAATCCCAGCTACTCAGGAGGCTGAGGCAGGAGAACTGCTTGAACCCAGGAGGCGGAGGTTGCGGTGAGCCGAGATCGTGCCATTGCACTCCAGCCTGGGTAACAAGAGCGAAACTCCGTCTCAAAAAAAAAAAAAAAAAAATAGAGACAGGGTTTCACCATGTTGGTCAGGCTGCTCTCAAACTCCCGACCTCAGGTGATCCGCCTGCCTCAGCCTCCCAAAGTTCTGGGATGACAGGCATGAGCAACCGCACCCAGCAAGACTTCCTTTTCAAGCCATGAATCTTCCACTCTTAAAGTGAAGGAGGTTGGCTAGTTTGGCCTCTAAAGCATTATTTTAATAATAATTTTGCTATTTGTAACTGGGAAGGTGCCTTGGGAGAAATGAATATTACTAATAGCTTTAGCACCTATTTTATCTACTAAATGGGGACAAAGTAAAACCCTAAATCTAATAATGCTGTTTAAAAATTAATTCCTAGAGTAGTGAAGCAGGCAGACATTTTTATAAGGTGTAAGAACCATCACTTTTGCAGTCACACCTTTGCTGAAATCTCAGTTCTGCTACTTCTTAGCTGTGTGACCTCACACAGGTATCCAAATTTCTCTGACTCACAGTCTCCTCTGTAAAATGAGGATAATGGTGCTATCTTGTGGGGTTGTGGTGAACATTAAATAATACATGTAAAATGTCAGGCTTCATAGATAGGTGTTAATCCTTCAGAATAATGAGGCACAATGTTGGGAAAGATAGTCATGAGTACTGAAAGATACCCTTATCAGGGAAAACTGTTTCAGTCATGAGACCCAGATCAAAAGCCTTAGGATACTTTCCCTGAGATTCAGCTGCTGATCTGCAAAGAAGCTGTTCCTCACATGGCAAACTTTTGTAGATTGTCCCAGCATGAGAAGTAGCAGATATTCATTTATTTAACAAGGATTATTGGAGATCTTGAGCAATGTTACCTAGGGCAGTTCATTACACATAATATTACACTTAAAATATATTAACAGATTTACCAAAGAGTTGAGGCAATACTGAAGTGCCATCAGAGTAGGCTATATACTTCCAGTGGTTAGTTCGAAGCATGTAAGTGGAAGCATTCACATTACACCCATGGAATTCACTCAGAATCCAGGGTGGATGTAGGTTTTTGACTTCATGTTCATTCTTAAATGTTTCTGATGATAAAGGCAACAATGAGTATCCACTCAGGTTCTGAGGCAGAGGAATTCCAGCAATATCTATGTAACAAAAATAACAAAATATTTTAAAATAGCACATTCTTTTATTAGCTGAACACTCACAAATGACATCTTTCACATTTTTTCATGCCATTAAGTGCCATGGAGACCGGATTGTATACAGAATTTGTAAACAGATTACCAAGATTCACATGCTTATTCCACAGGCCATGTGAATTTAAGCACGTCATTTACTTATCTCAACCTCAGTTTTTTCATCTGGAAGAAAGGGGTGGCCACAGTACTTGTATTTATTAGGTTCATGTTAGATTTAAATAAGATACTTTACGTAAAATTCTGAGAACTCTGAGAATAATGCCTGGTAGATAGATGCCTTCAACAAACAATAATTAACATCACTAGTCCTTTTTTCTCTGAATGATTAAATAATCACTTGTTTCTCAAAGTTTCTTCCATGAGCTATTAACAAGACTACACAAGAAAGGGGTTTAGTAGTTATATATGTTTGCAAAATAATGGTTAAACAAAATTAGATACATAAATTTGTTGTTGATGTGAATTTGTTGCTGATGTATATGATAAACCTTTAGGAGTGGTATACAGTATACCATATGCACAAAAGTTATTTGATAATTGAGCTTTTTAAACTCTCAAGTAGCATATCAAGGGACTAGCATTTTTAAAAACACACTTTCAGGAATTGTGGATTATATTTATAAAAGGAAACTAATTTTAAACTTATCAAATATAGACATATAAAACAATAGCATGAGAAATGTCCAACTGAAAAATAGCTTGTACTTGAAAAATTGCCTTCAAGGTACGTGGACCTCAAGCTTCCCTCTTTCTATAGAAAATTTGCTATTAATTATGTCTGGGTAATCAGGGTTGTTCCAATATGAGTCTGTAGTTGTCTTCCGCACTCATTTCCTGGTTTCAATGTTCATATTTTATGTATAAATATTTCCAATGAAAAACAGAATTATGTCTGTAATGTTAGAAATGAAACAAAATTGAATAAGAACGTTAATTCAACTTGACTGTCTTTAACAAAAACAGGTTAATTAAAGGATAATAGGGAAGTAGACAAAAACCACTATAAATCTTCTGAAGATTTATTATTTCATATATAACTTTAAAAATTGGAAGAGGACAATCACAAGTATTAATTTGCTGCCAACCAATCAAAATTAGTGGCTTTTTTGGTTCACAAATAGGAAAGAAAGAAGAGAGGAGTATTTCAGAGTTAACTGGTTAAAAACAAAAAGAGGAGAAAGAGGTTAAAGAGGAGGTGCCCGAGAGAAAACGGTTGCCTGGGTGAACCTAGCCGTGCTCCAAGACAGAAAGACTAGCTACTGTAAGCAGCGGAAAGAAGGCTGCGAGGGAGGAGGCTGGGTTAAGCGTGATCTGTGTGTCGGCCACCAGGAGGCACCACCAGCGAGGCACGGGAGGAGACAGAAGAAGCCCTTAAGGAAGGTTGGGAGGCAGGAACCCACTGGCACATACTCATGGCTATGGGACATTCTTGTATTCAGCATTTTAATAACCTTTAATACTTAGAAATATCTTATTTTAGAACCATTCTTAATTTTCCTAAGGAAGTTTGGAAGACTAAGAAACATGTTTCTCCTGTGTGTATGAGAAGTCAGTAGTCAACTGGGGTAAGAGTCCATTCAAGTGTTCATTTTTAAAATTCATTCAGCAAACCAGGTGCTATTCTAGTTGTAGGGAAACAATATTGGACAAGGCAGAAAAGCTCTTCTAGAGCTGACATTCTAATGTGGGCAGACAGAAACAGCTGTGTCAGACGGTGGTAAGTGCAATGAAGAAGAAAGCAGGGTAAGGGAGACAGAGAGTGATGGCAGGCATGTGGGATGTGCTGTGTTACACAGGGTGGTCAGGGAAGGCCTTTCTGAGAAGGTCACATTTAGACAGCGTCCTGAGGAAAGGCTAGAGTGAGCCCTACAATTATCTGGGGAGAGGGCATTCCCCCAGGGGAATAGGAAGTGTACAGTCCTCAAGGCAGGAACCTACTTGGTTTATTCCCCAAACACCAAGCAGGCCTGTTTGGCTGGAGCAGAGTAAGTGAGGGATAAAATGATAAGAGATGAGTTGGGGAAGAGAAGAGATCATGTCGGACTCTCAAAGCCCAATTAAAGACTGAATTTTTACTCTAGGTGAAATGAGAAATCAGTAGAGGGTTTTGAGCAGAGAAGTATGACAGTCTGACACTAACTACAGAATGGTGACTTGACTAAAAGTGGATCAGGGCAGAGCGTCAGAGAGAGTTAGGAAGCTATTGCAGGAATCCAGGCAAGAGATAGTAAGAACTTAGGATTCCAGTCCATTACTGATAGAATAAAATACCTTTGAAAATTGATAAACATCCTGTCAAATATCCATAATGTTTAATAAATACTTCAAGTATTTATTAGTTTTTCTGTACCTCAGAAAATTGGGTTTTCATTTTTCCTATAGTTACTGATAATTTCCTTAAAAGCACTTTAGCTTAGACTGCTTTTTAAAGAGCTGTTTGATTTTTTGTTTAAAATCATTTTTCATATTTACTTCTCCTGGTAAACCTGTTATTCTGACTCCACTTTGAGTAAGTTTCATCTTTTGCAGCAGTATAAGCAAAGACCAGAAGTAACTGCAGGGTTCTCAAGAAAGAGTGACTTAAATGTAAAACAAGTAAACAAATAATAAAAATGCAGACCTGGATATGTGTGATGATCTCTGGAAGAGAGATGACATTATATTTCTTCCTGACCATATCACTACCTAAGGGATTCAATTGGTATGGCATTGATGCAAACCAACATACACATTTTTTAGAGCATACCTAAGAAGAATGAAACATATTAATGATAACCATATCTAACATTTAATTGTTTACCATGTTCCAGGCATTGTTCTGAGTTATGAAATAGCCACTATTATCCCCATTTTTTTTTTTTTTGAAACAGAGTCTCACTCTGTAACCCAGGTTATAGTGTAGTGGCACAGTCTTGCCTCACTTCAACCTTTGCCTCCCAGGTTCAAGCGATTTTCCTGCCTCAGCTTCCTGAGTAGCTGGGATAATACACCACACTCAGCTGATTTTTGTACAGAGACAGGTTTCACCATGTTGGCCAGGCTGGTCTTGAACTATTGACCTCAAATGATCTGCCCACCTTGCCCTCCCAAAGCGCTGGGAGTACAGGTGTGAGTCACCACTCCTGGCCTATCCCCCTTTTTACAGATGATAAAATTGAAGACCAGACCTGTTGAGTAACTGCCCAAGGTCACGCAGTTGGTAACGAGTGAAGAGGGGTTTGAACTTAGTCAGTCTGACCTTATAATCTCTCTACTGTTTAATGCTATAGCATAAGACTTGCCTTATTTTTGTAGTTAGTCAAATTCATAGTATGTCTCAGCCAATAAAAACATAAGAACCTATGCAAAACACCTGCCAACCCCCAGGCTTCCACTAAGATCCTGTAGCAAGAGGGGTTGTGCAATTCAAATCACTAGCAATGAAATAGTCTTTTAACAACAACTGCATTTTTACATAATTACATTCTCAAAATTTTAAAAATCTAGACTTACCTTTAAAGCAGAGAAAAGCATGTATTTTACAGAAAGACTATTAGAAAACAATTAACATGAAAATAAGTTCAAAACAATTTTAACTACAAAATGAGACACTTTTAGCACTCACTGAGCTAAAGAATGCTGGTAACTAGGTATTAGAGAAGAAAATATTTTGGGAAGTAATTTTTAAGTAATAATCTCAGAAATAATAATATCAATTTTATTATTAATATTATAAAGAATTCCTATTCATAAATGTCATTTTTTGGCTGCTATTAGGAAATGATAATGTATTATATCATTCTAGTGATAGAATTAGTTTATCTGACCCATAAGCACAAATAAACTAAGCATATTCTTCCTGCTTTATCATAAAATATTTTATTTTAAAAAACCACTATTAAAATACCTTCTAAAAATGACTTGCAAATCCAAACTTTTAAATAAAGCATTGTAGCATCTTAAATTTCAACAGACTCTTGAAAGTAAGGCAGGTTTATTAAAACAGGAATACCAATTGGTTTTTCCTATTGAATAGCTTTCTATTGATGGTTTTCTGGATAACCATCTTGTATACATTTCTAAGGTCCATAGAATGGAAGGGAGGAGAAAGTATCACTTGAGGTTTTGGCTTCAGATTTTTATTTTCTTTTGATACCAGAAGTGTTTATTTCTGTTTAACAGACATTTCAGGATTTTAATTTCACTTTTAGTTTCCAGAAGACTCAAGTATTTTAAAACTCAAATATACTATGAGCAAAGTTTATCCTTGATAAATCAATTTCAAAACAAATTTTTCTCTTTATTTAATTTTTCTTTATAAGATTCTCCTCTGTGTGTGTAAAGGTATTCATACAAAATAATACAGCTACAGCTAAGCTAATAAAGAAAGGACTTTGAGAGCTCTAAGAATAGATACTGGCTTATATCTATTTTAACAAAATAAGTCTTTTGCAGATGTTTATCAAAATATGTATAAGTTTGTTTATTAAGCAGAGGTAAAGTAGAACATACTGTCTCACAGGTCTAATTTTAGAGTTAATTACTAATAGAGTAGCTTTAAACTCTTCCAGCACTGAGGAATTTTATCTTAAAAGGTTGAATGATCCATCAGATTAAAAGTAGACCATCAGAATTATCTTTGCTTTGTTGGCTCCTAAGGCTGCTAAAAAAGGAACAGCCTCAGTATCTGCCTGTTAATGCTGGTGTAATTGTTAATAGTACTCTAAAAACGTGCTAATTTAGACAGTAAATCGGATGGATAAAATATCTAGAAAGCAAACAAAAAAAAAATCGATTTGTACAATTTTAAAGCCTTCATTTTCTTTTTAATACATGGGGGCAATTTTCACATGTTTCACTTTTTAAAATTAATTGACCTTTTTTTTTTTTTTTTTCAGCATTTCAGATTCAGTGAGTACATGTGCAGTACATGAGTACATGTTCCCTGGGTATATTACTTGATGCTGAGGTTTGGGGTGGGAGCGATGGCATCACCCAGGTACTGAGCATAGTGCCCAACAGTTTTTCAACCTCTGACCCCCTCCCTCCCTCTGTCTCCCTTCTAGTAGTCCCCAGTGCTTCTTGTTGCCATTTTATGTCCATGAGTAACCAATGTTTAGTTCCCACTTATAAGTGAGAACATCTGGGATTTGGTTTTCTGTCATTGTGTTAATTTGCTTAGGATAACGGCCTCCAGCTCCCATGTTGCTGCCATTCATTTTTTATGGCTTTGTAGTATTCCATGGTATATATGTGCCACATTTTCTTTATTCAGTTCACCACTGATAGGCACCTAGTTTGATAGTTTGATTCCATGCCTTTAATACTGTGAATAGTGCTGCAAGTGCATGTCTTTTCAGTAGAACGATTTATATATTTTTTGGTATAGATCCAGTAATGGGATTCCTGGGTCCAATGGTAGCTCTGTTTTAAGTTTTTTTGAGAAATATCCAACTGCTTTCCACACTGGCTGAACTAATTTACACTCCCACCAATAGTGTGTAAGTATTCTCCTAGTGTATAAATGTTTTCCTTTCTCTGCAGCTACACTAACATCTGTCATTTTTTGACTTTTTAATAATTGCTATTCTGACTATTGTGAGATGATATCTCATTGTGGTTTTGATTTGCATTAGAATTGACTATTTTTTATCTAATCCATTACTACTAGATATTCCCATTGTTTCTACTTCTTAATATGGTAATAAATATCCACGGAGATAAACATATGTGTATATCTACAGGTTATTTCCTAAAATGAGGATTTCTAGGTCAAAACATATGCACATTTCTAAGAAATTTGAAACGTAATGCCACATTTGCCTATAGAACATTTGTATTAGTTTATATTCCCAGTAGCAGTATATGAGAAGGACTATTTCTAATATAGGATTTTCTAACTCTCCTTAACCTTTGCAAACTTTATATGTGAAAGAAAAACGTTTTCCTGTTTTAATATTTTTATGACCACTGACTTTGACTCTTTCAAAGTATATCGGCCATTTGTGTCTATTTTCTGTTGTGAATTGCTTATTTTTTTGATCAATCTGTTAATAAGGTATTCCTGTTTTTCTTACAGATTTATAAGAGCTCTATGAATATTAAGCCTTTATCATTTATAAAAAGATTAGTTTAAGTAAACAATTGTGTTACAGTGTTGTCTCCTGGCTCCAGCATAAGGCTCTTTCTTGTTGCATCTTTCTCTTTCTACCTTATCACTGGTTAACATCTGGTTAACAGAATGTTTCAGTGTTTTATATAAAGACCCACCCATAGGTATTCCCCTCCACTTGCTCTTCGTCAAGTAAAAAAAGCATTTAAATATAGCTTTCTTCCTTCTGATAATAAAAATATTTATTGTGAAACACATTATAAACTCTGCTAAGCCGTGAAGATGTTGATTTTACAGTTTAGAATTGGGGAGATATATTTTTGACTTTAGTTCCTTTACTAGTCAACACATGATCTAAACGCTGTTAATAAAATATATTCTGCAGGGAAATGTGACTTAGAAGGAGTCTATTACCAAGGATTTGATGAAAAATAAAAATCGATATAAAACTATAGTTTTAGAAAATTATAATAATTGACGAATTGCAGGGAAAAAACCTATAGTTGCAGGGAATTTATATCATTTCCAGAATAGTTGACACAGAATGTAGAGAAGTTTCTGGGACAGTATTGTCTTAGCTAGAGAAATTCTTATTACCAAGTAACATGAATTAGACAGTGATAGGTAGGTGCCCTTCTAGGTAAATGCATGAGAATTTCCCCATTTTATTTAGCATTTTCTTATGTGACCTGTTAAATACATTATAAAATCTGCCAGTTTGCAGATGACCTTTAACTTTTATGATGTCAAGAATAATGGTATCTTCTTAAGATTGTAGAGTACAAAATTTGCATTGTGGTCAAATATAAAATAATACTTAAAGAGAAATGATTTAAACTGTGCATTTTAATTAACTAACATATATGATGACAGAAAGTCTAAGAATTGAATAGGGCTCATCGTAAACAACTCCCTAACAATATTAAACTATTTAGCTGCTAGAGTCGAATAGATAAAATGCCAACTATCACTATGAAATATATCGAGGGGAAAAATGGAGAAGGAATCACCCCAGCTTTCCATAATCTTTTACAATACTTTTTTGCAGTTCTGGTTACTCTACTCCCAGAAAGCAGAATGAGGCTAAAAAGTCAAGCAAAGATGACCCAAGGAAGATTTTTTGGGGGGGGTAATGGGGAGGGTAGGAAGAGTTCTACATGAGGAAAAATAAAGGAAGGAAAGTGTAAAGAATATAGGCATATATTGATAAAACTCTAACGATGCTAATGACAGAGACACAAATATACATAATTATATATAAACTTCTTTAAAAAACACAGAAATGAGGGAAAGTAATAGTGATTGGATTGAAACTAATGGGATGAGAAAGTGGCCAAGCTATGGCTGAGTGTGAACATCACTTAGAGATAAAGGGAAACCAGCAGAGGATGACTAAAAAACAGAAGAGATTAAAAATTCAAGAAACTAGAAAGAAGTATGTTCGATTATATGAGAAGGGATGTGAAATAAAAGAGAAAAGGAAAGGACCCTGGTGTAAATGAACCCTAAACAAATTTAGTTAAAGGAAGGGAAGAACTTACGGCAGAAGGAAGAGGGTAGAAAGAACTCTAAGATGCATCTTTCTTTCACATTTTAATATTTCTGAAATTAGAGAATGTATCTTGTGTTATTCTTTTTCTTTCACCAAAATTTATGAATCGATGGGCCCTTTTGCAATTGACGGTGTCTTAGAACAGAGAAACTAGTGTTTAAATGCTAATGAATTTAAAGTAGTCTGCTAAATTACACAGAAACTAGCAGTTAGTTCTCTATGATTTCCTTCAAATTTGATTATGTCAGTTATTCTAGTATCTTCAACAAAAAACTGCTAACTACCTTATCCATCTGTTGCTTTTCCATACATACGGCTATGCTTGTAGATGTTAAGAGGCTAGTAAAGCAAATAGTACAGAACTATCTAAAGAGTCTGAAGAGGAATATGTTCATACTAGTTTCAAAGTGGATAGAATAGTTCAGAAAGAAAATGCTTACATTTTAGGGAGGTGGTGGTAGAGAATCAAATGATGTACAAATCGTATCTATAAAGTTATGAACCTGAATGTCCTACATGGCTTATAGTCACACCCTGAATACAAACCTTTTGAAGGGAAAATGACTATAATAAGTGAAGGCCACAGGAACATGAAAAGCAATGTCTTCATTCTTCAGAGCACAGTTGGACTCACAGTTAAATGAGTAGCTCAGGGTTATAAACACGTCAGCCGGGGCTCCTACTACTAACTGAAAGACTGACTAACTGACCTCTTCAGTTGCATTCTTTCAGCACTATTACAAATAAATCATTACAGAACTGCATTACTTACCGAGCATGGTAGGGTAAATATCCACAAGAGAAACCACATTTGATACTCGCAGGTTGGCTTTAATTCCCGGTCCCATCATCAAAAGCGGAACATGCACACTAGCTTCGTACATGCTCATTTTATAAAACTGCCGATGTTCCATGGCCAGCTCTCCGTGGTCTGAGGAGTAGATGACAATAGTTTTCTGAAGAAGACCTAACTGATGAAGGGCCAAAATAATTTCACCTACAATAGAAATCAAGACAAACCTATTAAGTAGCTTTCAGTTCATGTTTTATTCTCTCACGTTAAGTTTATAACAACTCTACCCCGTAGGAGTTTGTCACTATGCTTCTACATCTGAATATTACCCACTGTTCTCAAGTTAAGTCTCAAGTTGACAGGGTCTGTCTATGGCTTGCTCCTCAACTGACTAGGGAGGAAGAAGAAAATATAATACCCTTGGTAACTCTTGCTCAAAGCTGTTCCTCTGGAGATCATGCTGGTTTGCTTTCTATGTTTCTATCAGAGAACAGGAGAAAAATCTTCTCCTTAGTGCATTGAATGAGAAAAGAAAGATCAGTTAGACATTAGCACTTTACATGTCTCAGATGATAAAAACACTGACGTCACTTGTAACCCACAGTTTCTGTGCAGCAAGAAGTGGTAACAGCAGTCAGAACTCCTCTTCTCTGCTACTTCTTCTCCCAAATCTCTAAGCAATCACTAGATCATGCTCATAAAGTTGGCTGAGGATTATGGAAATTCCACCTTTGAAGAAGGGTTGGAAGCAGGACAGATAGTATACAAGTTTGATTTAGCATCTTGGATAGGGAATAATGGGACAGTAAAATTCCTCTGACCAGTTTCTGACCAGTGTTCTCAAACTTCCTCCTACCGTAATTAAGAGAATCACAAGAAAGCACAGGCCAGAGGAGTCGTCCCTATTTTGGCAGTTCCTGCATCTGAGTAGAAGAGTCTATATTAATTTAAAAACTTACAGATTCTGAGGTGTAGTCAGGTTTGACACTCACTGCTCTATAGAGTTATTCACAGAGTTGAGACCCTCTTGATTTTTCAACTAGACAACTGGAATTACTTCCTAATCCGTCTTGTCACTACTCTCTCTTCTCCTTGTATTATTCTGGTGTCTCTCTTTCTAAATTACCTAATCACTTGATTGTGTCATATCCCTGCTTACAACTTTTTCATAGCTGCCCATTGTTGAATTCTTTAGCATAACAAGCAAGGCCCCTGTCCACTCTCCACACTTAGCACCTTTGGCTACCTGCTAGACCTTTACTTTCCAGCAATCCTAACCTGCTCAGCACCCCCTAAATACACACCACATTAGTTTACACTCTTTTGCCTCTGCATATACTCTGCCATCTATGGTGATTGCCCTTTCTCCCACAGTCTACTTGACAAATTTTCATTCTTCCTTTATGAGCCAGCTCAAACATGCATTATCTCTCCTGGCAAAGCAGCATTCCCTGCTCTTCTAGGTACAGTAAATCACTCTGTTCTTCATGATGCCTACAACTTGTATATTACTGTAGTTACAATGACATATTGTAATTCTTAGCATGTATGCTCATTCAATAATTGTTTACCCAGTGCTTACTATGTGTCAAGCACTATGGATACAATGCTAAGCACCAAGGATGCAATGTTGAATATGAAGGATGAAAGACTTAAATGTAAAACTCAAAACTATAAAAACCCCTAGAAGAAAATCTAGGCAATACCATTCAGGACATACACACAGGCAAAGATTTCATGACAAAATCACCAAAAGCAATTGCAACAGGAGCAAAAATTGACAAATGGAATCTAATCAAATGAAAGAACTTCTGCACAGCAAAAGAAACTATCACCAGAGTGAACAGGCAACCTACAGAATGGGAGAAAATTTTTGCAATCTATCCATCTGACAAAGGTTTAATATCCATGAGCTACAAGGAACTTAAACAAATGTACAAGGAAAAACCAAACAACCCCATTTAAAAGTGGGCAAAGGACATGAATGGAACTTCTCAAAAGAAGCCATTCATGGGGCCAACAAATATATTTTTAAAAAGCTCAACATCACTGATCATTAGAGAAATGTAAATCAAAACCACAATGAGACACCATCTCATGCCAGTCAGAATTGACAATTATTAAGTTAAGAAACAACAGATTTTGGAGAGGTTGTGGAGAAATAGGAATGCTTTTACACTGTTGGTGGGAATGTAAATTAGTTCAGCTATTGTGGAAGACAGTGGCAATTCCTCAAAAATTTTGTGGCAATTCCTCAAAAATTTAGAACCAGAAATGCCATTTGATCAAGCAAACCCATTACTGGATATATACCCAAAGGGATATAAATCATTCTATTACAAAGAAACATGCACACATGTGTTCACTGCAGTACTATTTACAATAACAAAGACATGGAACCAATCCAAATGCCCATCAACAATAGACTGGATAAAGAAAATGTGGTACATATACACCATGAAATACTATGCAGCCATAAACAGGAATAAGATCAGGTCCTTTGCAGGGACATGGATAGAGGTGGAAGCTGTTATCTTCAGCAAACTAATGCAAAGCAAACACTGCATGTTCTCATTTGTAAGTGGGAGCTGAACAACAAGAACACATGGACACAGGGAGGGGAACAACACACACTAGGGCCTGTTGGGGAAGGGAGAGCATTAGGAAAAATAGCTAATGCATGTAAAATAGCTAATGCATGTGGGGCTTAATACCTAGGTGATGGGTTGATAGGTTCAGCAAATCACCATGGCACACGTTTACTTGTGTAACAAACCTACCCATCCTGCACATGTACTCTGGAACTTAAAAACAGAAGAATGTCTGTGCCCTCATGAAGCTTGTGTTCTTCAAGGGAGACAGATGATAAACAGATGAAATAATTAGTACCACTATGTAAACAACACGACAAGATATAAAGTAAGTAGAATGATGGAGCTGGCACAATTAGTTACAGTGGTAGGGAAAGACATCCCTGAGGAGGTAACAACTGAGCTGAGAGCTAATGACAGAATAAGCCAGTCATGTAGAAAGCAAAGTGAAGGGTGTTCCAGGCAGATGGAACAGAAATTATAAGACCCTGAGGTGGGAAAAGCCTAGAATGCCTTTAATTAATTGGTGATTTCTTAATAGTATTCAGCATACTCTAAACCCCCAGTGCCAACACAGTGCCTGACAGCTAGTAGGTACTAAATGTTTGTTCACAAACCCAATGAACAGTATTAAATACTATTTGGTGACAAGAGGAGTGTACATTTAAAAATTAAGATACAATATATTCCATAAACTTTGTAACTTGAAGTAAGCAAGTTGCCACATTTTTTTCCTCTCTGAAGAGACTTCAAGAGTAATATTCCTACACTCCCTACAGCAACATTCTTTCATTTTAGTAGATATGGAAGAATGAATGGCTATAAACTTTCAAATGCAATTTCTAGTGTGCAAATGGGAGAACATTCTCTAACATCAGAGAATATCAATGAAAGACAATTTGACAGATATACAGGTGTATGATTGGAGAAAATTACTTAAAATCTCAATTGATTACTTGGAAAGTCCTTGAGTCCTTAAATACTTTCTTCTTCTTCTTCTTTTTTTTTTTTTTTTGAGATGTAGTATTGTTCTGTCACCCAGGCTGGAGTGCAGTGGTGCAATCTCGGCTCACTGCAACCTCTGCCTCCTGGGTTCAAGCAGTTCTCCTGCCTAGCCTCCCAAGTAGCTAGGATCACAGGTGCATGCCACTGAACCTGGCTAATTTTTGTATTGTTAGTAGAGATAGGGTTTTACCATGGTGGCCAGGCTGGTCTCAAACTCCTGACCTCAGGTGATCTATCTGCCTTGACCTCCCAAAATTTTGGGATTACAGGCATGAGCCACCACCCCTGGCCAGTACATTTTTGTATTTGCTATATTATAATTTGTCCATACGGCCTTTGTGTTTCTTGCTGTATACTTTTCTATTTTTACCAAGTGAATTTTTTTGAACAAAAACCATTCACTTGTCACTCCCAAAGTTTACTCTGTACAGAAGAGGTGCTACCTGTAACTTCACTAGTATAATTATGCTTCATTCCTAAGTACAGCGAAATGAATGACATTACTTTATGAAAATAAGTTTTGTCATAAAACAGATTTTTAAACCAAAGTTTTTACACACATGAACTGGAAACTTCCATAGCTCTATAAGTGAACAGGCAAAACATTCTTGAGAGTTATATGATGGAGGCAGGTTTAGTGTTGAGTTGCGTCTTGAGCTTGAATGAGGGAAAAAAATTCAATATGATTCTGGACCAGAATATACATGGAGAAACTTTAGTTAAACCATGCTCTAAAGGGACTGGGGAGAAGTAATTATAAGTTTGGGGGAGTCACAGGATTCTACAAGTAAACTTTCTCATCTCTAGGAAACTAAGCTGCCTTACAGTTACCCATCACACATGTACCTGTGTTTAGCTGAAAACTAATTCTTGTTTAAGGACAGCAAAACATTTCAAGTAGATGATAGCCTTCTATGACCCTTTCTTTATGTATGAATAAATCTGAGGATTTATGAATCTGAGAATTTATGAATAATTAAGATATAAAGAGCTTTACATTCTCTCAATAATGCAAGTTATCCAGTTTTAATAAGTGTCAAGATTCCTACAGTTATAAGCAACTCTTGTAAGAAATATCTCAGGCTGTTCATGCAAGTCACCAAACAGCATGATCACTGATTGCTGAAAAAATATTATAGTTTTTCTTCATGTAATTGCTTATTAATTATACCACCTACCAAGCATGGCATCTGTCTCAGCACACATAGCATAGTAAAATGCTCTAATATTTTTTATTTCTTTTTCTGTAAATTTTCCAGTGCAGTTTTTTGTATAAGATGAGTAATAATCTACAGGGTGCATTTCTGACAAAGGCGACCACTTTGGGATTTTGATGTCATCATGAGACACCTAAAAAGAGGAGAAAAAACAGTTATGCTAGCAAAATAGTACTATTTCTTTCCTCTAATTAGTATGTATGGTGAAATCAACAATGTGAAATTACTCAGAAGAGTAGAAAAGAATGCGGGGTGGGACGCGGTGCCTCACACCTGTAATCTCAGCACTTTGGGAGGCTGAGGTGGGAGGATCACGAGCTCAGGAGTTCCAGACCAGCCTGGCCAATATGATGAAAGCTCATTTCTACTGAAAATACAAAAATTAGCCAGGCATGGTGGCAGGCACCTATAGTCCCAGCAACTTGGGAGGCTGAGGCAGGAGAATCGGTTGAACCTGGGAGGCCGAGGTTGCAGTGAGCTGAGATCATGCCACTGCACTCTAGCCTGGGTGACAGAGTGTGACTGCATCTCAAAAAAAAGAAAAGAATGTCTGAAAATATGTAAATAAGATAGTAAATCAATACATAAATTAGGAACAAATTGTTAATACTCTCATAACAACAAAAGGTATATATCAATACCTATATACATATCATGAGATAGTGGTAAGATTTTAAAAAATTATACAGGCCAATGAAAAACATGAGCTAAATTAGACAGTATATACTAGTCCGGAAAAGTATCCAAGCACTTTAATATATAGTCATGTGACCAAAACTTCAGAATCAACAATGTAAGACTATGGGACTCTTTTTCTCCAATAATTCTCTAGTAAAAATGCCAATACCTAGTGAGGTAGTCAAGCACTTGTAAAAAACAAATATGACTTTTTAATACACATAAATGCTGACTTACAGTGTTGGTAAAAAACAATTAGGACTAGATCTTTAAGTTATATATATTTTTTAATCATGTAACTTTCAAAAATGTCAAACATTTACTTAGTATTTTGTTGAAAGTAATTTAACTCATTTCATTTGGCTAGTACTAACTCCAGACAAAATTTTGAAGATGAAGTCACTTAGAACTTTTAAAGAAGATATAAAGTATCTAAAACACTGACAGATTATTTTATTTAAAATGGGACAGACTAAATAGTGTTTCTGATGAGTTTTAAAAAATTTTTTATTTTTTATTTCCATAGGTTTTGGGTGGCAAGGTGGCGCTTAGTTGCACAAATAAATTCTTTAAGGTGATTTCTGAAATTTTGGTGTACCCACCATCCAAGCAGTATACACTGTACCCAATGTGTAGTCTTTTATCCCTCACCTCCACCCACCTTCCCCCTCGAACAGTCCCAAAGTCCACGGTATCATTCTTATGCCTCTTAGCTTAGCTCTCACTTATGAGTGAGAACATACGATGTTTGATTTTCCATTCCTGAGTCACTTCCCTTAAATAATGGTCTCCAATTTCATCCAGGTTGCTGTGAATGATATTATTTCATTCCTTTTTATGGCTGAGTAGTATTTCATGGTATATATATATCACAATTTCTTTATCAGCTGGTTGACTGATGGGCATTTGGGCTGGTTCCATATTTTTGCAATTGTGAATTGTGCTGCTATAAACATGCATGTGCAAGTATCTTTTTGATATAATGATTTCTTTTCCTCTGAGTAGATACCACATAGTGGGATTGCTGGATCAGATGGTAGCTCTACTTTTAGCTAAGGAATCTTCACTCTGTTTTCCATAGTGGTTGTACTGGTTTACATTCCCACCAGCAGTGTAAAATTGTTCCCTTTTCACCACATCCCACATCTCCCTCAATATCTATTTTTTTTAATTTTTGTTTGTTATGGCCTTTGTTGTAGGAATAAAGTGGAATCACAGCATGGTTCTAATTTGCATTTCCCTGATCATTAGTGATGTTGAGCATTTTCTCATATATTTGTTAGTCATTTGCATGTCTTTTGAGAATTGTCTATTCATGTCCTTTTTTTTTTTTTGAGATGGAGTTTTGTTCTTATTGCCCAGGCTGGAGTGCAGTGCAATGGTGTGATCTCAGCTCACTGCAACCTCCGCCTGCTGGGTTAAAACAATTTACCTGCCTCAGCCTCCTGAGTAGCTGGGATTACAGGCACACACCACCATGTCCAGTTAATTTTTGTATTTTTAGTAGAGATGGAGTTTCACTGTGTTGGTCAGGCTGGTCTCGAACTCCTGACCTCAGGTGATCCACCCGTTTCAGTCTTCCAAAGTGCTGGGATTACAGGCAATGAGCCACAGCACCTGGCCTTATTCACACTGTTAGCCCACTTTTTGATTTTTTTTTTTTTCTTGCTAATCCGTTTGAGTTCCTTGTAGGTTCTGGACATCAGTCCTTTGTCAGATGTATAGACTGTGAAGATTTTCTCACACTCTGTGGGTTGTTTATTCTGCTACTGATTATTATTATTTTGCTGTGCAGAAGCTTTTTAGTTGAATTAACTGATTAGTTTTTAAAGTAACTTAAAATTGATTTAAGACTACACATTTCAAAATACAGGTAGACCATGCATCATGTTGTTCGATAAGCATTTCAGTTATCACAGTTTTGTTAAATAATATCAGTCCCCTAACAAAGTTAACCTGGTAAACTTTAGTTCCCAGGGTATGTTAACTGTGAATAATTGCAAAAGGTCCAAACTTTCACACTGATATGCTGCTAGCTTTTTAGTATAAATCACTGAGTATACAACAGATATGTATGGCATTCCATGACTAATCATATTGTTTCTTTTAAAGTATGTCAGTGATTAGCTACCTGGTACATGTACAGACAAGAAAGCATGTACCTGCATCCTAGTGATACATTTATGTGACTTCTTTTATAAAAAGAAGTAATGAAAAGAAGTCAACAAAGATGAACATGCAGTAAAAAAAAAGGAAAAGTGACAAGGCTGGAAGTGAAATTCAAATCAAATGTAAATGAAGTGATAGAAGAAACAGCTGACCTGGGAATGCTGACAGTGCTGTCATTCCAGAGACACTAGACACGTAGCCAGAGGAACTTAGAGAAGGCACACTTCCTACCGTAAACGAGGAAGTTGTAAAGGATCAAGATGTACCACAGAAAGTGACATGGGCAAAAATTTTCACATTAAAGGAACTTGGAGATATATCATTACATTGAAAGCGCAAAAGCTAAAATGTTAGAAAGTAATCCAAATTTAGAAGGAAATAATGACAATTCGCCAAGTCTTAGAGAAGATGCTTTCTCTGTATCGTAAGTTTTATGATGAGAAGACAAGCACTCTACAATCTACTGGTAAGATTTTTTTTAAGCAAAAAAATCCTCACTTTAATTCTCAATGTTTCTAGTATTTTCATGATAGTGTACTACATAAATATTAGTTTATTTTTTCTTTTTCCATTTTTAACCAAAAATATTGGTTAAAATATTTTTAAAATATTTAACAATTTAAATATTTTGACAAAAATTTTTAAAGGTTCCAGAAAATGGTCGTTTTTCCCATATATGAAGGTTGTTTTATATGGTTTCAGCTTGCATGGCCATCTTCACAATCCGGTACAGGACCAAGTGAGGACAGCCGACATTTCTAAGAGAATGCCTTTTAGTTTCTTTTTTTATAGACATATCCTTGGCAAATATATTCAATCCAGAAGTAGGTTTCTGACTTTTAGCACTTATGTTATTTCTTTAAAATTGTCCCTTTACTTTTTACTGAACCAGGTATTGGTCAAGTTTGAATATACAATTTTCAAATTTTTCTTTAAAAGTGATAATAAACAAAACAATGGGTAAATACCAATAAGCCACATATATAAGTCTACTTTGAGCCCACACAATGTAGCTACTTACTTTTTCAAGCCAATAAAGAGATGTGTGAAATGTTGAAGCTCCAAAATTTTCTCCAGAAGATGGTGAAGGGTAAGGGTGTGGTAAATTTAATCCCAAATAAAGAACAAATGGTTCAGTATAATTAATTGCTTCTTTTCTTAACCAATTAATTGCTTTGTCTGTATTCTCCCAATCCTTTTCCATCACTCTCACTTTAGTGCTATTAGAGATAAGATTAACCATGGGCCTGCCTTCTTGTCTGAGTAAGAAAGCAACATCTCTTGTCCATGCTTCTACACGATTACTGAGGGAGCAAAAAGACAGGTCTATTGTTAGGTATATTAAAAAGTTTTTAAAACGTACTAAGCATACACTAAGAAAACAACATGTCAAAAAAATTTTAGATTCAATCTTGTAAATGTTCAGAATAACTATATTAGATCTCAGAAAGAAAGTTATTGAGCATTACAAATTAAAAAATAGAAAAAAAGCCAAGAATCAAATATTCGCTTACGTGTTCTTAAAAACTATGAGAGATTATGTAGAAGGGTTATCTTTTCTTACAGCAAGATATTTAGTTAAACAAAATATTTCGGATTTCTAGTATTTCTCTTTATTTACTGAATTTTCTAGCATTTTCTTTTTTTCTCTTAGACGATGTTATTCCTAACCAAACCTGCTATAATTTATTTTTATTGCTAAATGTTTATATTTAAAAAAATCTACCTACCATGTATATTTCATGTGTTCCTGAAGTTTCAGTTTTTAAATCATTTCCAGCTCTATTGTTTCTTCTTAAAAGAAAAATTTTAACCATAATCTGAGCTATCTAAGCTAATAGTGATACAAATTTCATATCCATTATAAACCATAGATATTTCCTTTATTACTGATTTACAAATTAAAAGATCCAATTAATGCACTTTCTCAAAAAGCAAACAAACAATTCCCTTTCTCTAAATCTCTAGTCTATTTTATCAGACTTCTTGATTTTTCTCAATCCAGGTCTAAGTGTATGTAGCTGACATAATTGTTTAGAAAGCAGTCCTGGGCGTTTCTAGGAAGTTTGCCTTTTAAGTTGCAGTTGAGATAAGTACCTCTGAAGTGCTCTATCAATTGAGAAAAGTGTTTTTAAGATCCAGATACCAACTCACAAATAAAAAATATTTTATATTAAAACATAATACTCCACTGAAGAGAAATCACAATCCATGCAACATGACAAACAACCCATATGTAAGTTAAAATAGAAAAATTTTATACCCTGCCTTCTGAATGCAGGTAAAGATATTTAAATAGCTATAATAAAAATTCACTTTTCTTTGTAGGTATTCAATATATTTTGATAAAAATAATGGAAAGCATAATTTCTGCAGAACTACATCTATCTAACAGATTCCAATTAATTCTAACAGATGGGAAATCCTAAAATAGAAAGTTTTGTATTCATCACACTATCAAAACAATCTCACATTGGCTTCTTGTCTTTTGCTTAAATCACAGTTAAAATCTTACTATATATGACTATTAGTATTGTTGCAGAAGTGGAATTTTAGGAGTTTATAACACCAGCAGTATGTTTAGTAGAACTCAGATTTTGAAAGAAGGAGAAATAGGATACTGAGATTTATATAGAATGTTTAGGAACCAAAGTGCTTTCTTTTCAGTCAGAGAGTATTACATGAGAAAATATGGCTGAGGAACTATTACAATAAGCAAGCTTTTAATACAACCTAATTAGTTGCCACTGTTTGGATTAACTCAGGTAGAACTATTGCCCTGATTGTGCTAACTGGTCTAACCAGTGGACTTTACAATGTAGTCTAGACCATGAGTCAGTCTAGACCAGCTCAAGGAAAGATTTTCCAGCCTTGAAAGATGGCTATATTGAACCCAGCTTGCTGCATCTTTTGGCACAGCAGTGATTAAGTGTGACGTCATTTACCCTTTCTGGTAATAAATTTATGCCCTCTCCCTGTTTTTTAAAATTGTCTGTGTTCCTGAGATTGTTTTAACCAAGGTCCCCTTAAGGGTAAAATAGCTTGAATCCAGTTAATTTTGGCCTTCTCTAATCATTATGGCCAGATTTCAAACTTGGCTTTATTTTTGTCCTCTAACTAAATAATATGTGATTTTTCTCTCTTATCTTAGTGGTATCCTTTCTTGTCTTTTCATAAGTATGGGTTTGGCATGATTCCCATGACTGCTGGTATGTAGGTAGAGTTATAACAAATGATTTCAAGCATTGCTAAGGCAGCAGAGACAAGACTATAGTTAAAGATAAGAGGTTCCTTTTCCAAAGTTTTTCACTTCTTTTATTAGTTGACTCAGACTCACTGTGCCTAAAGTGTAAAATAACAATTTATTTCTTTGCAACTTAGTGAGGAAGAACAAGAGTATAAAGCGATGTATTTGGTAGATGAATATACTGCAGTACTTTAAAATCATTTAGCACTTTTTAATGTATTCAAAATATATTAATAATTATAGTCAATGACTCTCCAGTCTACTTTCATGACTCCCTGGACCAGCCCACCCTTCCTGGGCCATCATTAAGCACAGTAAGAGCAGCAGATGCAGCCTAAACGGTAGGCTGCTACAGGAGCTGCAATTCTTAGTCCAGAAAGTCCCTCTTTCCGGCCCAAGGTATCTTCCAGTCACTAAGTCCAACAAGTAAAACATGGAATGAGAAATATGCAACTTCATAATTCATTACAACTACAATAATAAGATAACTCTTTTGACATTATAATTCTCTCTACTAACCAATGTATCCAGCCCCTTCTTACAAGAGTGATTGTCTCTTACTCAGGCTAAACTGTTGCACCTGGAAATCATATCTTTCAATCATATGCTCAGACCTACATCTTTGTCTCATCGTTCTAAATGTTGTCTTTTCCCCCCACCAGTAATTGCTATAACTTCTTCCAAATATAAGTTTTCTATTTACTTAACCACTGGGGATATTTTGAGCCAATTTATTTCCATTCCATTTCTATGTATTTTGTCCAGAATACCAAGAGTATGGTTTCAATTAGGACAATTGAAAAGGGCTTGTATCAATGAGGAGAATCCAAAACTAACTGTGACTCAGATATGTTATGATTCCATGGCTGTTCTCAATACAAATTTACCCTGTTGCTCGCAATATAGGCACAGCTATACAATGTATAGTTTCCTCTATGCCAGCATTTCTCAAAGTGTAGTACAGGGAGCTCTGAGGAGTCAACAGACACTCCCAGTGAGCCCATGAGGTCAAAACTATTGTCATAATAATAGTAAGATGTTATTTATCTTTTGCATTCTCATTCTCTCATAACATACAGTGTGCAGTGGAAGAGACCACTCTAACCTATCCTCAGGTAGGAGCTCAGGTCTGGAGTGCACCTATCTCAAAGAAGATTGTTCTCTATAAACTTAGAGAGGCTTCAATGTTTCATTATATCATGCCCCTCTTAAGTGGCCCAACGTCTACTTCAACTCTTTATAGAAATATAAGAGGGGCTTTTCTTCTCAAAGGGATACAAATAATAATCACACATTTCTGATAAAGACATTCATAATTAATTACACCTTGTCCTGCCTCCACCGGAGGTCCAGTTCTTTATATACTTGCTACTTCAAAGTGTGGTCCATGGACCAGTAGCATCAGCTCCTGGGAGCTCCCATAATGCCCACATGTTATGGGAGGGACCTTGTGGGAATCATCATAATTGAATCATGGGAGCAGTTTCCCCCATACTGTTCTCCTGGTAGTGAACAAGTCCCATGAAATTTGATGGTTTTACATCCCCTTTCGCTTGATTTTCATTCTCTCTTGCCTGCCACCAGGTAAGACATGCCTTTCACCTTCCACCATGACTGTGAGGCCTCCCAAGTCATGTGGAACTGTGAGTCCATTAAATCTCCTTTTCTTTATAAATTACCCAGTCTTGGGTATGTCTTTATCAGCAGCATGAGCACAAACTAATACACCATCCTAGATTCACTGAATCACAAAGGGCATATAATAAGATGCCCAAGTCATCTGTATGTATATTAAGTTTTGAGATTCACAGTTTAAGAATTTTTTTCTGCAAAAACCTTCAAATTTTAGACAGGGTAATTAAAATGAAGCTTCCATAGTAGCCTATAAACAGAATTATTCTACCTTGGTTCAGTTCCAGAAAACAGGTGATAGCCAAATATACTATCCAACAATCAACAGTTTAATTAGTTATTTTTAACAAGAAACTTCTCACTAATACAAATGAAAAATAAAACTACTTAACACATTATCAAGTAATTACTACATAAATTTGTATATTTGCCATTACTGTGTGGGTTTTCTGTGCCAGTGTGCCAAATTCTGCTAAAACATTGGATACAATCAGTTTACAGGCAGCAAAGGATTAGTTTACATAGTAACATTATATTTGAAAAACTATACATTACAATTGATGATGAGAACGTGACAGTTTTCTTTCAGCATGAAGTAGGAGCCTAAACATAAACCTTCAGCTTCTTAAAAGTCTACTGAACATGACTAATATCTCAGACTTAAGAGTTCGGTGATCTCTCTCTTTTTCTCATTGTTCTTGATGGGATTGTAGCAGGTAATGTGTTTCTGTTAAGTCTCACAAACAAAACACTGGAAAAACGATGATTCTGAAAAATGCCCTTGCAAATTTCTGCATCTACATAATAAATTCTGTAAGAGAAAAAGGAATCTATATTCATTCCCATTAAATGCTCTTTTCTGGACTTGGTGTGGTGGCTCACACCTGTAATCCCAGGGCTTTGGGAAGCTGAGGTGGGAGGATTACTTGAGTCCATGAGTTTGAGACCAGCCAGCGCAACATAGTGAGATCTTGTCTCTCCAAATAAATAAATAAATAAATAAATAAATAAATTTAGTTGGGCATGGTAGCATGATAGTATGTGCCTATAGTCCTAGCTACTTGGGAGGCTGAGCAGGGAGGATCACTTATGCTCCAGAGTTTGAGGCTGCAGTGAGCTACGAGCCTGCTACTTTACTCCAGCCGAGGAGACAAAGTGAGACCTCATCTCTAAAAAAAAAGCTCTTCTCTCAAATTAGAGAGAGACACACATGATTTTTAAAAGGATTTACAAGGCTGTCATCCATCTTCATTACATATGATCACTCAAAAAAACACCAATCTGTTTCAAATTGTTATTCTCTAGAAATGATGTAAAAGGCATTTGTGTAGAAGTGGAACAAGAGGCCTGGGTCTGTCTTTTTTCTATCTCTAACCTGTTAGGTAACCTGTAGATTTAGTAATGCTTCCATCATTCACCCTCCTT